GGGAAAGGGGGACCCGGACCCCCAGACACCCCCCCCCGCCCCCTCTCTCGTTTTAAACGGGTTTCCCACCCCCGATCTCCCGGGCGAGTTAAAGGAATTTGTTCAATTTAAAAAGCGCCAAATCACCCCCCTAGAGGCACCATCCGGTCCCTACGAGGCGCGATCCCCCCTATCCCCGGAGGATCTGCAGAGGTCCGAGCAAACCGGACCCCGCCTCACCTTGGCGCCGATCTGGTTACCGCATTGGCCGGCTTGGATGTGCACGATTTCCCTCATCTTGCAGGACCTTTTTGCCCCTTTTTGACGGTGCGACGCGCCCCTTTAAGGGTAGAACGCTGCGGAGCCCAAGTTTCCTTCTTCCGAACGCGGCGACGTCCAACGTTCTAAAGGGCTGGTAAAAGGCGGGGGCTGATATAGACAAAGCTTTTATAGCCTGGCCGGCGGCCAGGCCCCTGATTGGTCGGCTGGGATCAGCCGGGCGGGGGCTGATTGGCCAGAAGGGGATCGCACACGTGATGGCGGGCGGCAGTGGGGAGCCAACAGGGCAGGGTGGGGTCCGTGCAAAGGCTGCTGGGAGGTGTAGTCACCTTTTGTTCTGGAGGGGTGGGTGGGGTGCTTCTGGCAATACTGAACCCCCGAGGTTTTCCCAGGCTGGGGAGGGAACCCAGCAGTCCGGGTCCCTACCCCGCCCCCACAGAGAACCAAGGTTCTAGGCCCCTTCCCCGCCCCGAGAACCAGGGGTCCGGGCCCCTACCCCGGGTTCCCAGCCCAGCCTCCCGTCGGGGACAGAAGCAGCGGGAAGGAAGGAAGCGCCTGGGGAAGGGAGCAGAGGCAGGGCCTGGGAAGGGAGAGGGAACCCAGGCGCCCGGGATTGGCCCCGCCCCCACTGCCCGCTGATTGGGGCTGGCAGTGTCGCAGAGCTGGTGCAGGGTGCGGCTGGGCGGGGAAGAGCTGGCGGCCGGCCTGGGCTCCCGGGGAGGGGGCGGGGCCGGCTCATTCCTAGATCGTTCATCACCGCCCTGCTGGCGACACATTGTCCCCAGGGTCCAGCCCCAGGCAGGTCCCGCTTGCCCCGGACGCCTGGGGTCTCCGGGACGGAGTGGGGGCTGGGGGTGAGAGCATGGGATGGGGGGGGGCGGACGCCTGGGTTCGCCGGACGCAGCCCTGAGTCTCACCCAGCTGAGTTCCAAGCAGTCCCACCCCTGGGGCCTGGCCGGAGCCCTGCTAGAGTCGGAGGCAGAGAGGGATGGGCGGGTGCCCGCTGCCCTTTCACCAAGGAACCCAGGGGTGCTGGGTGCCACCGGCTGCATCCCCCACCCGCAAAGGACCCAGGTGTCCGGCCTCCCAGCCTCCTTTACCCCACTACCCTGCCACCTCCCAGCTCCCCCTCACCCCAGTGCCCTGCCAGACCCCACTCCCAGCCCTGCTTACCCCACCACCCTGCCACCTCCCAGCCCCTTACCCCACTGCCCTGACCTCCCCTCCCAGCCACCTTTACCCCACTGCCCTGCCAGACCTCCTCCTCTCCCAGAGCGGGAGGGGGAGCCGGGCATCCCTGCTGCAATGTGTTTGCTGCGCCCCTTCCCAGCTGGGGCAGAGAACCCGGCTCCCAGCCTCTCCCTCATGACTACAACCTGGCGTGCCCAGTTCAGGCTGGGATTTGGCACTGGAGTTGAGTGCCAAGCTGCGAGCTTGCAAAAACAGTGTCATGGCTGTCCCACCCCAGGCAGGTCCTGCTCCCCTCCAGACGCTGGCATCCTCTTCTCCCATCTCTCCCCAAGGCCTGGGGGCACACTGGAGGCTTGGAAGCAGCCCTGGCCTGAGGCCTGGATGCTTGGGGAGCAGGGACAGGCCCCGGTCAGCAAGGTGCCTGACAACACTGGGATGCCCCTGCCTGGTACTCAGAGCCCCCCATACTGGTTAGCCTGTTGCCTGGCAACATCAGATGCCCCTTTATGGTACCATGGCAGCCCCAAATAACCAGCCTGTTGTCTGGTAACTCAGACGCCCCTTCCTGGTAGCCAGGCCCCCCTGTAGTAACCAGCGCGTTGCCTGGCAACACCGAGGTACCCCTTTTGGTACCCAGGGCTGCCCCTAGTAACCTGCCCGTTGCCTGGCAACCCTGGCCTGCATTGCCATGGCGCCTGGCACAGCTCAACTGGGGTCAGGCCGGGCCGGGACAAGGGCCTGGCGCTTCCCAGAGGCCGGTGGCTACGAATGGCCCCGGGGTGACGTCATTTTCATTAGTGAACAGCGGAAATCATGAGGAAGGAGCCACGTTCTGCGGGGTCGGTTGTACACTCTAGCCCCGCACCCGATGGGTGGGCGGCGGCCATTTTGTGGCGGGGGGGGGGGGGGGTGACGGCGGACGCTCCTCCCCCCCTCAGTGTCCCGGCTGTTCAACGTGGGCATCTCTATGCTCATTCGCGATAGAAGGGTGAGGCCGCCATGTTGAGGAGGACCGACAGCGGACACACTAGCCACAGCATTAGAGCGTTCTCTGTTCCTCCCCTCTGTCCTTCGAATCGCCCGCCATGTTGTGGAGGACCATGAGCGTCCCTTCTGGCCCGCCGCTCCCTGCCCCACAGTCCATGGTCCACGCCCACGTGGAGGACGCGGAGTGTCCGCTCCAGCCCGTCCCCCGGTGGTTACTCTCGAGCTCCACCATGTCGTGCCCAGGGCCGCAACCCGGGAGACACTCTAGCCCGACGCCGCCCGCCTCTTTACGGTCCCGCGGCGCCTCTCTGTGCAGCTACTTCCGGGTTCTGTGGCTCCGGCCTCCAAGCCCGGGACCCTGGCGGGGGTCAAAGGTCAGGGGACCTGGGGGCGGGGCGAGAGCGAGAGCGAGGGGTACCAGTGGGGCAGGGGGGGTGAAGGTGCAGAGAGGAATGAGACCCCCCCCTCCCGGAGTGTTGGGGGCTGTAACCCCCTCCCATGGCCCTGGGGGCGGTGGGGAAGGCCGGGCCCTGGGGGCACTAGGCCACTCTCCCCAATGCTACCCCCTTGCTTGCACCAGGGGGGCACCAGGGGCTGCCAGACTGCAGCTGCACCCGCCTCCCAACCCCCAGGACACCAGGGAGTCACCCCTGTCCCCCAGGCCTCACACATGACACTAGCCAGGCCCAGCTCCATGTACCCTGGCAGGGTTTAATTATGTCTGGCACAGACCGGGTGGCACCAGCGGGGCACATACAGGCAGCTGCACCTGTGCGGGGGCTGGACAAGGCACTGTAGGAGATGGGGCTGAGGCAGGTAGATGGGCTATGGCAGTGGGAGGGAGGGGAGGGCAGCAGGGAAGATGGGGGGACCCCTGCTGTCCTCCAAGTGGCACTGGGGAGGGGGGTCTATAAACCACGCGGACTTGGCACGGAGGGACAGAAGTGCAAGTGGGGGCAGGGGGTAGCTCGGCCCCACCCAGAGCTGGTGGAGCAGGGGGTCCCATGCGAGGCAAGGAGGGGCGAGTAGTGCCGGGAGCTCAGGACATGCGGCCTGGCTTCTTCTGGCTTATCTGGAGGAGAGAGAGAGGGAAGGATGGTGTGAGGCAGTGAGAGGGGCAGACATGTAAGAGGAACCCAGGTGTCCAGGCTCCCAACTCCCCCTCCCCTTCTCTAACCCACCAGCCACCCATGCAACTCCCAGCGAACCCAGGCCTCTGGGCTCCTAGCCCCTCTTTCTCTAACCCCCATCCTCACCCCCTGCGCCAGGGAACCCAGCCCCACCTGCACCAACTCCCCAGCCCTCACTCCCCTCCCAGAGAAGACAGGCATCCAGGCTCCAGTTTGCCCTACTCCCCTCCCCACCCCCAAAATCAGGCATCCAGGCTCCCAGCACTCCTTGTGCCAGCCCCCCAACCAGAACCCAGGTCTCCGGGCACCTGAGAGATGCTGATGCCTGTAAGCTTCTCCACCGTGTCAGGTAGCTTGTCCAGGATGCCCAGCACCTCCCCTGTCAGCTTGGCGGCGCCCACAGCCCCGTCCCCACTGGACACCAGTGTCACCCGCTGCACCGAGGACAGCGGGCGGCTGATCTCCTCCGCCACCTGTTGGGGAGAAAGCCATTAAGGAGGGTGAAGCTTGTGTGCTGGGGGTGGGGCCTAGGCACAGAGGTGCGGCATGTGGCTGGGGGTGTAGCCTATGTAGTGGGGGCGGGCCCTATGCAGAAGGATGGCGTATATATGGAGACGTGGCCTACTTGCTGGGAGCAGGGCCTAGGCAGGAGTGGGGACTATGCAGAAGGGTGCGACATGGATGGAGTGGGGCCCATGTAGGGCTGGGTTTGCATGGGCGGTGGGTGGGGAGTGTATGGGGGCAGGGCCTGGAGAGGGGGTCTGGATCCTGGGGGTGGGATGTGTAGGGGTACAGCCAGTAAGTTGAGGGTAGGGCGTATACAGGGCAGTGAGGCATGCTTTGCTGCCTACAGGCTGGGGGGTGGGACTTACACAGATGTGTTGGGGCAGGGCTTGAGTGCTGGGGGCAGAGCCTGCAGGCTAGGGGCAGGACTAGGCAAAGGGCTGGGGTATGAATGGGGTGGGGCTGAGGCAGGGGGTAGGACATGTATGAGGTGCAGTCTGTATGATGGGGAAGGGGCCTAGGCAGAGTGGGGCCTGCAGGCGGGGAGTGGGGCCTGTAGGCGGGGGTTGGGGCCTAGATAGGAGTGGCACTTATATGGGGGTTGAGCCTATGTGTTGAGGGTGTGGCCTGTGTCCTAGGGGCAAGGGAGCGTGGCCTGAAGGCTGGAGAGCTAGGTACATGTTTAGGTGTGGCCTGAGCACAGAGCGTAAGGCATGAGTTGAGGGCATGGCCTGTTTGCTGGGGTCCTGAGAGGGGGTGGGGCCTATGCGTAGCTGCGGTGCTGTGGGGGCATGACCTATGTGGGGGGCATGGCCAATGACCTGGGAGCGTGGCCAATGACCTGGGAGCGTGGCCAGTGTGGGGGTGTGGCCTGCACAATGGCTGTGCAGCACAAAGGGATATGGCCAGGCTGTAGGTGTGGCCTAGATATGGGCACCACCCACACTGGGCATGTGGCCAGTGGATGGGGTGTGGCCTACGGATACTGGGCCAGGGCCTACCTCGGGCAGGCGTTGCAGCAGCATGTCGGCCATGGCGGCATCGCTGTACTGCCGAAAGGCCTCAGCCTTCTTGGCCACCTGTTCAGCGTCCGCCCGCGCCTTGGCCTCGATGGCAAACGCCCTCGCCTCCCCCTTCACCTGCGGGTGGCAGGGGGCAGGGTCAGGTCCCAGGTTCCCCACCCTGGCTCCCCCCTCACCACCTGGATGCCTGGGTTGCCCTTCCCTGGCTCCCTGCTGAGTGGCCCAGTTTAACTCCCTGGAATCCCCACCCACTACCTGAAATGCCTGGGTTCCCTTCCCTACTCCCTGCCTGCCTGCCCCTGGACCCCTCTCCCCCTTGTGGACTCTGTTCTACTCTTAAGGCGGTGCCACCCTCCTGGACACCTGGCTTCCTCCCCCAGCCCAGCCTCTCTTCCTGTGCCTGGGTTGCCCTCTTAGACGCCCCAGGTCCAACTCCATACTGTCCACGCCCCCGCCTGGACGCCTGGGTTCTTACCTCCATCCCACCCCTCTCTGTGCCCTGTGCTGCCACCTGGACGCCTGGGTTCTCAGTCTCCTTCTCCCCCCTGCCCCGCCCCCCCAAATGACTCCACACCTCCTACCCGGATGCCTGGGTTTTCCTCCCAGTCCTTCTTCTCCCTCATTAACTCCACACCCGTGCTGCCCCACCCAGATGCCTGGGTCTTGTTCCCCATGTTTCCCACTCTCCCCACCTGGGATTGGGGAATGGACACACACTCACCCTCACGGATTCTGCCTCTGCCTCAGCCTGCATGATGAGCTGGGACCTGGGTGGGGGTGCAAGATGAAGGGAGGAGTCACATCAGCCATGGGAGATGTCATGTCAGCCAAGGGAGGGGAGGGGTCAGAGGTCAACGGTTGACCTTAGAGACATAGGTGAAAGGTCAACCCAGCCAAAATGTCAAGAAGACCCACACTGATACCTTCAGGGGTCAGAGGGGAGATGTGGGGGTGTCCATACCTCTCAGCCTCAGCCAGCTTTTCCAGGCGGTAGCGTTCAGCCTCAGCCGGCTTCTTGATGGTGGCCTCCAACTCCCGTTCCCTGCGAATTATCTCCTGTTCCTGCAGATTTATCTGCTGGGCTCGTTCCACCACCAGCACCTGCATTTTCTGCTCCTCAATCTTCTGCTTTGTCTTGGCCACCTTTGGGGGTGGGGGGGGGGGGGGGGGGAGGAGGTGGTGGTCAGAGGTCAAGGGTTAGGAGGACCTTCAATGGGGACTCCAGGTTGGAATCCCACAAACGTCAATGGTAGCTTGTGAGTCAATGGGCTCATACCCATGGAGGTAGGTCAGAAGTCAAACGTGGGAGGCTAACAGAGGGGCCCACAACCCCTCTTGCAATGGATGCTAGCCAGTCACCATGAGCCAAGTGCTGAAATTATCAGGTCTATGTGGGATAGCTTTGGGGAAGGGGGGGGTGGTCAAAGGTCAACAGCTGACATAATACAAGTAGGTGAAGGGCTAACCTAGCCAACAAGTCATGATGCCAAGGAGAAGGCCCTGGTTGACACCACTAGGACCTGTCTAGGGGTCAGAGGGGGGCTGCTGAGCAATACATTGTAGGCAGGAATCAATGGCTGGTATAACCTAGCAAACCAAAAGGTGTCCATAACTGCATCTCATTGGTCAACGTTTGGGGGAGGGGGGGAGTAACAGGTCATCCAAAGTCGAAGGGGTCACCTAGCAACCTCTAGCCAGATCTCACTGGTCCAGGTCAACGTGGAGGAGGTCATGAGGCAGAGGGGTAACCAGTCAAGGGCAATGGCTGATAGTTACCATGGCAAATAAGCAGGGCCACAGGATAAGCCCAATGCCAGGCCCTTACCAGGGCAACTTGGTGGGGTCTCAAGACCAATGGCTGGTGGTTACCATACCAACCTGGTAGGATCTGAAGACCAACAATGGCTGATGGTTACCATGACAACTCAGCAGGGTCTCGAGACCTATGGCATATGGTTACTATGGCAACCTGGCTCGGTCACAGGTCACCCCGCAATGGCTGGCGGTTACCACAGCAACCAGGTGGCCTCTATCAACTATGGTGTTCAGGGAGTTCCATCAGCCCAAGGCTGTGGTGTCCCAGAGGGTCCCAACCCCAGTGTCCAGCTCACCTGGAGCTGGTAGGCCAAGTCCGACTCGGCCTTGCGGGTGTTGACCTCAATGTCGTAGGCAGCCTTCTTCAGCTCATAGTCCCGCTGCGCCTTTGCCATCTCGATCTCATTCAAGTACTGGGCTGAGAGCTTCTGTTGCTTTGCCTTGGCTTCCTACAGGGTGGGGTGAGGAAGGGAGGGGGTCAGAGCCAGCTCTGGGGGTCCCTAGGCCCCCAGATCTGCCCCCTTGCCCCGCAACATCAGGACCCTGCACTCACCCGGATGCCAGCATCTCTCTTGGCTTCAGCCTCTCCAATCCGGGCATCCTTCTGGACCTGGGCCGTCCGGGCTTTGCCCAAGGAATGCAGATAATCCTAGTGGAGAAGGACTCCAGTCATACCTGCCTCAGGGCAGACCCCAAGGGTGAGGGGAAACTGGAGGCAGATCAGGGGGTGGGGGAGGCAACTGCCTGGGAGAGGCAGTGGCTTTTCTATCCAGGCAGCACTGAGGAGTCCATTAACTTTGTGGCTCGTTCTCATCTTCACGATTCCTGGTAATCTCTTTCCACTCCATAGGTGTGAACAACCCTCTCTCCTTTTTAATAGCCTTGATGTTCTACTTTTCAAACCATCCTTTCTTCTGCTGTGTTGCTGTCAGCCATCCCTGGCAACATCTCTCTTCTGTTTCACAACCCTCCAGTCTGTTTGTAGCTCTAGCTAAAAACCTTGACTCAGGGGTGGTCATATGAACTCAGGTTTAGAAAAGACTGACTGTGAAGTATTGGAGGCACTATCCAAATGCTCAAGGTAGCTAGATTTTGTTTTAGAATCTAAATAAGAGATGTATATTTAACTATTACAGCTACATGCCCCCTAATCCTAGTATTTGGGGACTCAGTGAACAAGAGCTCCCTGTTCACTTGGTCCACACCCTTTATGATTGTATGCATGTCCTCTGGCCTCTCCCCTTTCAGCTTTCTCCATTCCAGGTAGAAGAGTCCTAGCCTTTTTAATCTCCCCTGGGTATAGCAATGGCTCCAGGCCCCTGATCATTTTGTTTGCCCTTCTCTGGACCTTTTCTATCTCCACTACATCGTTTTGGAGATGCGGGGACCAGAATTGCATGCAGAATTCAAAACATGGGCACCCCATAGATTTGTGTAAAGGCATGATGATTTTTGTTTCGTCTCTGCTTTGATCTTCAGCTGAATACTATAGCACTGGCCTAGCATATTAGTAAAGCTCTTAGTGTTTCTTTAACTGGAGAAAAATGTGGCGTGCCTGGGTGGATCTACAATTTAGACAAGTGTAGAAGGTGTGGCACATTATTACATACAACACTACACACATTTTTCTTTAGTTAAAGGGAAACTAGACACTTTACTACTATGCTAGGTAGGCAGCGCTATAGTATTCAGTGTAAGATCAAACAAAAACAAACACTGACTGCATGATGCACTAGATTATATATAACGATAGCCATAATTTGCTAGAGTATGTATAAAGTTTAAAAAGAAACACAACAAACTGGGTACAAAACAGTCAAAACAGTTCAAAGATTCGGTGTAGAAATGACTGACAGTGAAGTCCTGGAGTCACTGTCAAGGCGCTCAAGGAGGCTATATTGTTTTAGGAATCTGCATAAGACACATACATTTAACTATAACCGCTACCAGATGAATGACACGGCCTCTTTGGACTTTTGTCCAGTTTGCTGTCTTTCTTTTTAAATGCTAAATATAATCTACCAAATTATCGTTCTGGTTGTGTGTCATCTAGTGCACATTCCAGTTGTATTGTTTTTTCTTTCATCTTTTAATTGAATGATATAGCGCTGGGCCCCTAACATATTAGTAAAGCTTCTAATTTCCCTGTAATTGAAGACAAATGCATGTTGTGTTCTATGTAATAAAGCACCAGACCATCCACACACCCATTTTCTAGACCCTAGATGCGCCCATGCCCCGAGCTACATCATTCACTTGAGGATCACAGTAGTAACAGCTATAACTTTATTTAAATGTGCACTGATTTGCTAGATTAGATAGTAAGTTTAAAACACAACATCAGCAGAAAATAGTCCAACGATACTATGTCATTCATCCCGTAGTCATTAGACTTAAATGTATGTATTATTCAGAGTTACAAAACAAACTTCATCCTTCTGGAGTGTCTTCACAGTGCCTCTAATACTTCATGTTAAGTCATTTCATTGAAAAGTCTGGGTAGAGCATGGATCAAAGAGGGATGAAACTATACCACTGTCCCCAGTGGATCTGCCCACGTATCCTCCTATTCAAACCATCCTTCCATCCATCCGCAGGCCGGAGGTCAAGCATTGCTGCTTCAGTGGCTGGAAGACTGTTACCATCAGCCTCTGTCCCTACAGCTTGCCAAGCTAAAGAACCGTGACAGTCATTTTAGCAACCATTAGAGCACAGGGTCTCCATGCTTCTATTCCACTGAAGGAAAATCAGCTTTGCTGCTTAGGACACCCGTCTAATTTTGGCGAGCAGGTTTGGGAGGAGGAAAGACACATGTGGCATGTGAGAACACATGGTAGATTTAATTCAGAGTAGATTCCAGGATAAATCATTCCAGAGATTCTTCAAATATCCTGAAGGTTCAGAGGAACACGTAGCTCTTCCCTGCCATGATGTCAGATTCCTGCTCCCCCCCAGCTTTAAAACCAACTGCCCATGACAGACAGTGGCATTTCTGTTCAGGCAACACTTACGGAGTCCAATGACTTCAGGGCTCAGTGTCATCTCCTTGATTCCTGCTAATCTCTCTCCACTCCATGGGTGTGAACTGTTGGCACAGAACTGACATTCGTGACATATGTGGCTATCAGAGAACTGAAGCAGTTGTGACCCGTGTGGGCCTCTATCTGACTCAGAGCAAACAGCCAGCCCACAGTGTAAGGCTGATTTTGCATAACAGAAGCCTGTGCTTGCATGTCAAGGGAAGCAAATATCATAGTGCTGAAATCTGTCTGGAATCGGATACAGCAAGCTGCGATAGCAAATGCATGAACTATTGAATGGATCAGTGTTACAACGTTTAGATAAACTGTGAGAAAGAAAGTAGTGTAAAAAGAAAGAAATTAAGGAAATATCCTTCTGCTAAAAGTACGCATTTCCCAATCTTGAAGAAGGGTGTATGTACCTGAAAGCTTGCAAAGAAGAATTTTTCCAACTATTTTAGTTTGTCTGAGCGGAAGCCGCCTCTGCCCCACACAGATCGGGGGGCACATACCCCCAGGCCTCCACTGGGGTGAGTGCAGCGGTGGGAGCTCTCCCCCACACCTGGAAAATTGTCCCACCACCCAGCCAGGGCAGCAAACGTGAGGGCCCAATCCTGGTACACAGGACCTTATTCCAATGTTTGGAGTTGGGAGGGGGAGGCACAGGGCCTCGGGGCCTGATCCAAGTGTGCAGGGGTCCGGGGCACAATCCTAGCACGCAGATCCAGTGTAGGTCTCTCCCAGTGTGCAGAGGCCACCACCTGGCCCGGGCTGGGGCCCCACTCACCCCTGCCCCACTCCCTACCCCACCATGGGGGCCTCAATCTGCCCACCCCCCCACCCCTTCCCCACAGACTGACCTACTGGGTGGGGCGGAGAGGAGGGGAAGGGGGTGGCACGGTAGATCCTGGGTTGCAGTTTAATTCAAGAAGTGACCTGATACTTAAAAAGGTTGGAGACCACCGTCTTAGACCAACACAGCTACAATCAACACCCCCAATTAAGTGACACCTTTCATATCCACAAAGAAGAATCTGGTCTGAAGCTCTGAAGGCTTCAGTGAAACAAAGACATTTAAATAAAGCCAATTGGGGATCTTCGATTAGAATATTAAGATCATGTTTACCAGCCACCCACAAATAGGAAATGTGACTGGAAGGAAATGGGGAGAGTAACTCTTCACACCTGTTGGACTGCTGCATGTACCAAGACATGTGCCTGATGGAAGGTTGAAGGAGGATTTCCCCCCTGGTTGTGGAGAAACAGGCTGAGACCAGTCCATGGCAGAGTGACTCTTCCAGTAAGATTATGATTATCCTTGGCAATTAATCTTGTTTTTGTCCATTAATCAATAAGCTTCTCACACTGGTTGGAATGACCCACGGGTACATTTAAAAT